GAAAAAAGGTTCTTATCATTATCTTATCATTATAATATAGGCATTATACCACCCGTTTAACTAATGTTAACTAATAAACCTAATTGTAAAGTGTTACCACCAGCAAGGTAAGTTAATAACTGTGTTCTGTGGTGGTATAGCTACAGTGTAGTGGTTCTTTGAAGCATGGTAACGTTACTTCTAGTCCACAGTAGTAGTTTCCTCTTGTCTCTTACCTTGGACACCCCGTCCTCGTTCCCCTGGGCCTTCCTGCGGAGCTGCATGAGGGTCCACATGTCGCTGAGCGCCGTGTCGGAGGAGCCCATGAGCTCGGAGGCGGTGGGAAGAGCCTCCAGTGCCCGCAGCTGCTCCTCCATCCCCCGCACCCTCTCCTCCATCACCCGATGCGGGCTCGGCGGCTCCAGCAGGGAGGCTTTGCTCTGTGCTGGGCTGTCATGGTCGTTGTCCGCCTCTTTCCACGCAGTTTTGACCCTCTCGATCTTCAGGTGTCCCAGGATGGCGTGTAGTAAAGTGTGCAGGGCGTTGAAATTGACCGCTCCGACATCAGGCGTCCCGATGGAGAGATCCAGCAGCTCATGCAGGCTTATGTCAGTCGACATGGTCTAAACAAATACGATGCTGTCAAAACCGACAATCACAGATATGCTCGTTTGAATGACTTCTCTCTGAACAAGTACGCAAGACCCGATTTAGTCTGTTTTCGAACATAATCACTTGATTATATCGGTTTTAACGGTTTTCTCATGTTTGTGAGGAAGGTAGAGTTATACTAAATCCGTTTCTTGTGGCGATTAAAATGCGTCGCGTCTTGTTCATCATTTAAGTCGCACGTTACCGGCTGCTTTGCTTTGGTCGAGTTTGCTCTCTGTTTACCCTCTCCCCGCCTTCCGAAGATGCTGATTGGTTTAAATGCCTCGCGTCACTCGTGCTCTCTATCCTCATTGGATGAAGTGTCTGTTTGTCAACAGAAATTACCTTAGTGTTGTGAGCGGCGGCGTCTTTGGGCGCTTAGCAACGGATTCAGTGGCAGCATCATCGGCAGTGCACGTGAGAGCGGAGAGCGATATACATGTAGTTTTACATGTTACATGATAATGTAATGATAAAAAAGCTAACTTTAAAAAAAAAATGAAAAGCCCCCAAATATTTGTTTTCATAGGCCTACTATAGGCTACAATCATATTGGCCTAAACAAATAGCCGAAGTGTATAACGCATTAAACGTTTTCTTCGGTTTTGTGTTCATGTTTATTTCTAAACCGGCGCTGTATTTTTGTATTGTATTTATTGATTGATTGATTGATTGCTTGGAGGAACTGTTGTAAATTTGAATGTTTCATTGTCTCAAAATAATACAAAATCTTATATCTTAGTCATTGTTCCTTTAAACAAACAAATGTCAAAATCATCCTGACCTAAAACAGTACCAGCTTTTCTTCTTGATCAAACTTTGAATTTCAAACCCATGCAGAACAGTTTAAATATTACTTTTACTTCAGTGTTTGTCTTTTTCTAAAAGTATGTCACAAACTTTTCATACTTTGTTGCAGTTTATATTTACAAACACAAATCTCCATAATAGCTGTTCCTGTTTCACCATATTATATTTCTTAGCAAGAATATAATGGAACAAAATTATAAACATATATATATATATATATAGCTTACTGTATATATACATACATACATATGTAGGCTATATACGTGTGTGTGTGTGTGTGTGTGTGTGTGTGTGTGTGTGTGTGAATATATATTATACAGTATATGGCAGTTTTTCTGTCAAATATGGATTACACACATACAAACATCAAATAAAATAATAAAGCAATAAATTTAGCCAAAGCAAAACTTGTAAATTCATTTAGTTATTTTTGTGGATAATAAAAGTGTCAAGCATCAAGGTGTTGTAACTATCGTGAGAGAGATCTTAAAGTAGTCGTCTACATCTCTAACTTCTACATGTATTTTAAACAAAGCTTTTAAGAAGATATTTCTTTTTCATCCTCTTGGATTCGTCCCCTTATTTGTCCTGTAAATATATAATATATCATGAGCATTGGAAAACAGACACAAGCAAGAATGAAAAGCTCTTTAATCCCATATATACACATATTTATAAAAGAAAACAGGTGCCGTTACCATTTTTACAGTAAGATACATTCAAGTATATGACCAGATATTCATCTCATTTTCCCTCAACATCCTATTGATTGCATTGGCTTGAACCAAATAAAGCTGAAAATAACGTACATGTAGCTTCTGCTCTCATGCAAATGAGCTTAGCGTAAGTGCTGTGAATGTATTAAAAAAGCTCTTTCTGAACCCTTTCTCAACACATTCATATTTACCGGTACTTATGACTTGTTGACTTAAGCTCAGCTTGATATTGCGCTTTATAATGATTCTCAAATTGTTTTCTATTGATTATATCAGTAATCAGATTCATTGAAATATTTGTATACTCAACACAAATAAACAGAGACAAACTTAAAAAAAAATACAGCAAATTTCGTGAAAGAGTGCTTCAAACTTTGGCAAAATGGTTTCCTTAAAACAAAAACAGAAAAGGAAAAGAAAGGCAACTGGCAAAAAGAGTTAAAACTGACTGTGACTGTGCACTGAGTGTTTCACGTTTTGTAGTTGTGAAAGATAAAAATTGAGTCTATAGTCATATTTCTCCTCTACAGTCTCACAGCGTAGTGTAAATAAATGATGTCTCATTGCTCAGTGATTTATTGCATTTGCATTAAGACTTATAGAAGCTTGTTTCCGCCACGGAATAAAAAAAAAAAAAGGTAAAATTACGAAAATTACTTTTTTTTCCTCGCAATTCCAAGTTTATATCTAGCAATTGTGACTTTTTTCCCATAATAATGAGTTTATATCTAGCAATTGTGACTTTTTTTCTCATAATAATGAGTTTATATCTAGCAATTGTGACTTTTTTCCCTATAATAATGAGTTTATATCTAGCAATTGTGACTTTTTTCCCATAATAATGAGTTTATATCTAGCAATTGTGACTTTTTTTCTCATAATAATGAGTTTATATCTAGCAATTGTCACTTTTTTTCTCATAATAATGAGTTTATATCTAGCAATTGTGACTTTTTTCCCATAATAATGAGTTTATATCTAGCAATTGTGACTTTTTTCCCATAATAATAAGTTTATATCTAGGAATTGTGACTTTTTTTCTCATAATAATGAGTTTATATCTAGCAATTGTCACTTTTTTTTCTCAGAATTGTGATATAAACTTGCAATTGCGAGTTATAAAGTCATAATTGAGCTGACTTTTTCCCCTCCGTTTATATATCTTGCGATTTTACAGAACTCTGCACATGCCACGCGGTAAAAAAATATGTATATCGTGGCCATGAATTACCAATTTGTTTCCACAACTTAATAATACATCAGCACATTTAACTACGGTAATCCGTTCCCTCGTTTTACTAAATCGTGGCCATGAATAATCATTAATCCCTTGTTTTAGTTCAATCAAAATGTGGCCATGACTTACTTAAACGGGAGAACAAATTATTATTATATTACAGTTGTGATTTTTATCTCACAATTCTGACTTTTTTTCTCATAATTGTGAATCTCTCAATTTTTACCGTATGTCTCAGATTTGCGACGTTACATCTCGCAATTGTGACTTTTTTCCTCAGAAATGTGATATAAACGTAATTTGTGGCATATTTGCCCACATGTCGACTCAAATTTAGTTTGTCTGACTGTATGTCTCAGAATTTAATATCTCGCTAATTTGGACATTTTTCTTGCAGTTGCAACTTTTATCTCACAAATTTTTTTCCTCATAATTGCGAGTTTATATCTCTCAATTCTGACCGCATTTCTTAAAATATCTCACAATTTTGACTTTAATCTCAGAACTGTGATATAAACTCTTAATTGGGAGTTGTAAAGTCAGAACTGCGAGATATAAACTAAAAAAAAAAAAAAATCAGAATTGTGAGATAAAAAGTCGCAATTACCTTTCTTATTTTAATTCCCTGGCGGAAACAAGCTTCCATATAGACAATGTTCCTTCTCAACAATAACTGAATTTAAGTAGTACAATATCTACTTAAAGGAGTAGTTCGCCTAAAATAAAACTTCGGTCTTCATTCACAAATCCTCATTTTTGTTCCAGAAATTTCAGAAAAATCTTTCCCAACACAACTCATAGTGCCCACATCCGTCCAGCTGCAACACGGACAACGCACAGTGTCTAACGCGCTAGACTGTTGATGTCACATGACTGTTTTCTGTGACGATCAGACTGAAATTTAGGCCAATTTAGGTTGCGGCTCACAAATCTCATTCCCTGTATTCAAACTGTCGAGTTGCGTTCGCTAACCAAACGAAAACCAATAGCGTTTGGGCGAACCTCGTGCAAAAGAAAGCGGCATATTTGAATCCCGAATGATATTTTTAGAGGAATAACTGCTTGAATTGTGTCTTTCGAAGCAAACGCTCGCCTCAGAAAACTTGAAATACAGTGCATGGGTTGAACTGTATGATCCTTTCAAGCTTGTTTTGGAGCTTGTCATCTTCGGTCACTATCTTTGTGGTGAAATAAGCTGCGTGAAGATCCTTCTTGCGTTCCACGAAACGTTACCAATGGAAGTCATGACAGAAGTTGAATTTCAGGGTGAATTGTGTCTATGGTCATTTGCTTGTCTCGTTGGATGTTCAAGAAAATGTAGGAAAGACGACGAGAGACCGTAGTTCGCAGATGGGCGTTGGCATTGCACGGCATAATGCTATTTGAAAACGTAAAAAAATGTGAACACACCAGTTTATTATTGCATTACAGCACTCGAACCTTGATCCCATCTGGGGGGAGTAAACGTGTTTAATGTGCAGGTAAAGAAAGGAGTCTATGCAGCCGATCAGCTTGAAAAGGAGAATGGGTACATGGTTCTAGGTGTTCCCGCAGATTAAAGTCTAGGAAAGTGGTGTGCAGAAGTGCTCACTGAGGCTGATGGCCCGTCAGATGCTGTCGTAGTCCGAGTCCCGTCGGGTGCTGATGGCGGCCCACTCCACCAGAAAGAAGGTCCCGGTGCCCATGAAGCCCACCAGCACCATGATGAGCAGCTGCCATTGCAGGAGAAGGTAGTTGCTGTAGAAGAAGGCGATCGCAGCCGTGATGGACTGCAGAGAAGAAGAAAAACACGACTTCACATACCACAATGAAGTCAATAAAGGTGGGCTTTTAAATTACCGGTTCTTACAATATTTCTTAGCACTCCTTGTGAAGTCGTTTGGAAGTCGTTCTCTTACATTTTACATCGAACTTACATTTTACATCGTTCCCTTACATTTTACATCGAACGGTTCTCGAAATAATCAAAATGCAAACGGACAGACAGACATATAGAGATTCCGAAGCTTCGAATATTCGATGTTCATTACTACCGAAGCTTCGAAGCTCAAAAAATGGTATTCGGACCAGCCCTAGTTTCTGTTACTAGGCTTGAATTTCGCGTGTTGCGCATAATTTGTCTCATTCCCGTAAGTTTTGTGCTCAGACTCAAAGTGCGGCACATAAAGACGCCTCTCAGCACTAAACTAACTCTTTTTCGCTGCTTATTGACCTTAAACTGTCAAATACACACAAAATAATGTCAAAATGCCGGTCTTGGCGAGTATTCACGTCAATACGGTCAGTTATGTTTTATGTGAACAAACAGTTGAGAAGGAAAACGCATGTGTAACAGAATAATGGATTGGTGTGTCGGCTCTTAAAGTGACAGTAGCCTAATAAACCTGCTGCCAAATTATGAGATAAGATTAAAAATATCTATATGGCAGTTTTTCCCCATGTTATCAATGTAAAAATTGTGGCCAGTGAAAATGCTGAGTGCTCGTAACTTTGGAAAACCACAGCAGCTGCTGAGCAAAAAAGTTAATGTCAAGCCCTAGTCACATTTTCAATGAGGACATAAAAAAAATCTCAACGCTCAATACGCCGCAAGAACTTAGGACGAGGTGTAACAGGCCAATTTAAATATAAAATATACGTTATATTATATAAAATAATCCTTGCTATGGATATATTAATGGATTGGAATTGGATATATTAATTTACTATAATGATAAAAAAAAAACAATACATATTTGTTTCAAGTACATGGGTGAATCTCATAAAATATGAATAAATATATTGTATACATGTAAATAAATCATCAATAAATCATATTTTATACTGCCTTTAATTTATTCTGAATTAAATACTGTAACCAAAAAAATCATTGTATCACTGTTTAATTTAATTCATTCATTAAGAATAATGGGAATCTGGAAAAAATGTCAATGTCAATGTAGAAAATCTTTATGGTCATAAATATTGGTTATTTTCTTTGAGCAAAATATTCAATTCTTATTTACTCTCTTGATTTTGGGACTCGTTAGGACGAGTTGAAACTGGAAATTGCAAATATATTCTTTCAATGAATATACATTTTCTATATATATTTTTTTTAAACAGTACATATTTCTTAAATGTTTTCAAGTAAATGAGTCTCATAAAACCTCAAAAATATGAACATATATCACCCCAGAAAAATACATTTCTTATCATTTAAGGTGGCAATAACCTCTATAATGCTCTTTGTAGGACCGTTATTTTCATGCCACAACATTTCTAGTGGTGGAAAAATAATTTTTGGAAAACAAAACACACACATCATAGCATTTTTACTGTCTTTAAAAACAATTAATTACTGTTCAGAACCTAAATAAGACTAATGGGAAAGGAAATAAAAAAATGGGCTTTTAAGTCAAATATAAATTTATTATTTACGTTGTTTTGGGTTATTTTTAGGGCTGGGCAATGATTAATCGCATCCAAAATAAAAGTTTGTTTACATAATATATGTGTGTGTGTACCGCGTATAATTATTTTGTACATATAAATACACACACATGTATACATTTAAGAAAAATGTGTTATTTATATATATATATATAAAATATTTATACAGTATGTACATGCAAATATTTCTTAAATATATACATGCATGTGTGTGTTTATTTATATATTACTAAATAATTAGACACAGTACACACACATATATATTATGTAAACACAAACTTTTATTTTGAATGCGATTAATCATTGCCCAGCCCTAATTTTTTTTATATTTGGGTGAAATATAACCCGGCCATGTTTTCACCCAAACATTTAATTATTGGTCTTTTTACATCAAACTATTTAAAGAATGCTACCAATTGAATCACTGAAGGTTCAAACCTGTACAAATTTAAAGACTGCAAACGCTGGTGCGCTGTCGTCCCGGAACAAGAACCCCACAATGCTGATGAGCTGAGTGTTGAAGCAACTATCACCCAGACCCAGCAAGAAACTGCATATCAGCGCCACCGTCACACTGACAACACATGAACAATACAATAAATCAATGCAAAGAAGCAAGAAAAGTGTAAATAAACATGTCTGGCTCCACTCTCAATGCCTGTTGACTCTTACCTGGGTCGGATAAAAGCTTGCATTTGTGTGCCTTCCTCTGGGGCCACGGGAGCATCACTGGCTATGTTGAGGAAGATGAGGTAGAATGCCACAACATGGGTAACCAGACCCAAAAACACTACCGGGTTTCTGCCATACCGGTTACACTTATCCATGATCCCAAATACTCCCCCTCCTGGTTAAACAGAGGAATCGATCTTATTACATTTGCTTTGGCTTGTTCACTGAGAACAGAAGCACAATAGTTGTGATTCACTGACTTACCAAGTATTTCACCAACACCGATCAAAATGCCAGAGAGGCCGATGAGACCCTTGGCGCCTTCTCCAAACTGAGTCATGGCCCCTAAACACGTCCCATACACCCCACTGTAAAAGGTGAGCTCGAGACCTGTACAGATAGGACACCTCACAGTTCAGCTAGTCTTCTATATCTATCAGAGACAGCTATTCAAAGGATAGTCAGTAGGGTGGACAATATGTCCGATTTCCTACATTACATGATGAATATTTTTACATCACATTAATGGTATATATTATGCACGATATATCGGCCACCATATCGGTATCGGCGGACATATGTTTATTTTTAATGTTATTGTTACTGGCCCGATAAAAAAAGTTGGCCGATATATTAAAGCAGATAAATAGTGGATTATTTCCTTCAGATGCGCACTGTTCGCCATGATGGTTTTGAATATGCTTGAAATATAACTGAAAATACTGTTAAGTGCAACATGTGCAGCGCAAATCTGTCATATAGGCTACATAAATTTATAATGAGAACATTTATGTATTGTGTGCTTGGGACATGGTTTTTAATGGTGAGACTTGTTTTTGTAATCAGGCTGGAAATGGATTTAGATTTATCTGCCAATATATCGGTTATCGGCTTTCAAATATAAAGAATTATCGGTTATCGGCTTTCAAAAATAAAGAATTATCGGTTATCGGCTTTCAAATATAAAGAATTATCGGTTATCGTCTTTCAAATAGAAATAATTATCGGTTTTCGGCTTTCAAATAGAAATAATTACTGGTTATCGGCTTTCAAATAAAGAATTATCGGTTATCAGCTTTCAAATATAAAGAATTATCGGTTATCGGCTTTCAAATATAAAGAATTACCGGTTATCGGCTTTCAAATATAAAGAATTATCGGTTATCGGCTTTCAAATATAAAGAATTACCGGTTATCGGCTTTCAAATATAAAGAATTATCGGTTATCGGCTTTCAAATATAAAGAATTACCGGTTATCGGTTATCGTATTGGCCAAAGTTTTCATATCGGTGCATCCCTAGTATATATCGAAATATTTTTTTTAAGCAGGGGGAAAAAGAAAATGTCAAAATATATATATCTATCAGAGACAGCTCTCCAAAGGATAGTCAGTGGAGTGGACAGTATGTCCGAAATCCTACATCGCATTATGAATACTTTTATATCACTGTAATAGTATATATATATAACAATATAGTTATTTTAATCTTTGTGGCAATGCCTACTTTTGAATTATCCAGTGAACTAAATACTTTACAAAAGAATAAGGTACTTATTATGTTGTCTTTCTATTTGGAACTTGATGGACACATCCCAAAAGATAAGATTATTAATAGTTAATAATAACACTTTTTGTTAATAACCATTCTTGTTCAAATATGTTCAAAACAGTACACTATTACATATAAATATTACATATGTTATTATATAGTATATAGTATTATTATTATAAAACCATCATTAGTATCCAAGAGAACAAATCCCCCTGCTACTAAAGGGGCCCCCCAGGGCTCTGTTTTAGGCCCTCTTCTTTTCATAATCGGCTTGCTTTATCTGTCATCATGGTGTGAACTACCACTGCTAACACACAGATTTACTTTTAGAGGATTGAACTTACCAGAGTATGCAAAGGGTATGCTCAATAAAAGCATCTCTTTGGTCATAGCCAGCTGTATGGATCTCTCTGTTGATGAGATGAGAGATGATGAGATAAGACATCTTAGTATGTTACACAGAACAAAACCGTGTTTAAATCTATGCATTCGTTCTTAAATGTTTCAGTGCCACTTACTGAATGCCTCCAATGCCTGAGAGCCCCGAGTCTGGGATGGACTTAAAAGAGTAACAAGAATAGGAAGCAAGGCAAAGGAACAAAAAGACACAACCTGATATAATTAAACCGGTCCAGATTTGCAGAAGTGCATAAAAATATGTTTGTACTTACACCACATCACAGCTGTCAGAGATTTCTGTGGGGAGAAGTGACTCAGAGGCATCAGCAGGTGCAGGTTCTGGGTCTGGTCGCTGGATCAGGAAAAAGAGGAAGTTTCCCACCAGACTGATGACCGTGAGTGTGATGAAAACTGTCTGGCGGTCCTTATCTGACACCAGCAAAACACGTTTTTCAGCTTTATTCGACTAGAGACCTCAATTATAATTCTGTGTAACCCTTCAGAAATTATTTTGTATAGATGTTTCTATCACAGTATATTTTTGTTACATGAAATAAGTAGGGCTGTCAAATGATTAATCGTGATTAATCACATCCAAAATAAAAGTTTTTTTTACATAATATATGTGGGTGCATTGTGTATAATTATTTTATATATATATAAATACACACACATGCTTGTATATATTTAAGAAATATTTTCATGTATATACTGTATATAGATTTGTATATAATTTATATTATATATAAATATAAATATTTTATATATAAATTATATAATTTTCTTAAATATACATGTATGTGTGTGTATTTATATATATACAAAATAATTATACACAGTGCACCCACATATATTATGTAAAAAAAAAATTTATTTTGGATGTGATTAATCATGATTAATCATTTGACAGCCCTAGAAATAAGCAAACCAATTTATTAATTTCAGCCAAAATTATTGTTACTTTAACTTGTACACACATTACATTTCCATCAAAGTGGCCATAGCTGAACAATATACATCTGTACTCACCTGTTATGTGACTCTTGTTATGCCAGGCAAGATATATGTAGAGATTACCGAAGAATAAGCTGCAAAAGAGAATAAATAAATCATAGTACCTTATGTATTAGGGGTGTAACAATATATCGTGTCACAATGTATCGCAATACAAAAAATGCAACAATATGTATCGTGGATAGTTCACCCAAAATAAAAATTACTGTGTGAGAAAATTCAAGTTTTCATAGTTTTAGTGTCAGTACGACCATATAATGTGGAATATAATGTATAATAATGCAATGGGGGAATATTTGTGGGTCCTGATATTGCTAAATGTCTTATGTTACCAGTAAAAGTGGCCTACATTATTTTAAATACATCTAGTCAGTGAAAGAGTGCAAGCATATTCGTCTAAAATAATTATGTTTTCAGCTTCAGAATTATGAATATTGTTATTCTGGTGTCACTATTGTCCTGTGCTTTGAGTTTCCAGCACCAAGTCCAAGCCTATTCATTTACACCCACAATCCAATACCAAATTTAGCATTTTAATCAACAGTATATTTTTTGTTAACCTTCTACCATGTGTCTTGGAGTATCGCAATAATATCGTATCGTGATATGTATCGAATCGTGACATGAGGGTATCGTTACACCCCTATCATGTACCATTTTTCCTTCTATTAACGCTCAATGTCAACAAGAAGGATGTACCTAAACTGCATCAACGCCCAGAATATCCCACTGTTTCTCCCAATAGTGGAATCTTTGGAGTTGATGGTGAGCAGATTCCCCTGAGCCGTCCAGAGCACTGCAAAAACAAAAATATTAGAGAATGTGTGGCCCTACATTTTATGATTTCATAACCGGACCGATTATGATATCTCACCCGCAGCGCCAATTCCAAGCAACACAGATAAAGTGTAGAATGACCAGGTGTACGGATGAATGAAAACAGCAATATAAGCACTAAAAGAGACCAGAGAGCAAAACCACTTAATCATAAATCCTGAGAAAACGACTAAGTTATGACAGAAAGCCCTTCAGACACTTACCTGTAAAGAAGTCCACTGAAAAACAAAGACAGCTGAGGTCCAACGACAGCGATCACTGAGGGCGCTATGAGGTTCGAGGCAGAAAACACTGCGTAGATAATCGCCATGCTAGAAGAGAGGTGTGAAAAGGATGTGTTGAAAGGTGGGATTTACTGGTTTGGAGGATGATTACAGAATGATAACATGGAAAACACAATATAATAAGCATGGATTTCAGATTTAATGAAAACAACTCGATGCCAAAATTGTTATGATGAATTTGCTTTGATGATCATTAACTATTTCAATGTGTTTCAATATATATTTCTCTCTCTCTCTATATATATATATATATATATATATATATATATATGTAAAAAGTGGTTGTCTAATATGTTTTCTTCCACCACAAAAACGTAGACAATTTTTGCCCGAGAAAAGGAGCCTGTATGAATGAGTGTCATGACTGTTGGGTCACATGACAACGCTGCATTCATTTCTCTGTTTCAAAGTTCGGTTTTCTTTGAGAACAGACAGTCTTTGTTATATAATCAAGGTCAATGTGATTACTGAGGTCCAGAGAGATTGGTTAGACTACAGCACAACATCAGATGACCCGGTTTTCATCTTTGAATCAGCTGTAATAAATCACATTCAGAACGGGTGCAGAGGCCAAAACACGTCACATGACTTTAAGCAGAAATAGAGCACAACCATGGGATTCTGGAAGTAACGGTCCCATTCATTATCTCTTTGGGTATGGGTTTTTATAATGAACTAAAATTAATATATATTTTAAACTGTCATGTTTTATGAACACTACAGCCACTTTTTATATGTCATGTGCCATGTTTAATGTGATGAGCAGTTCCACGCCTCAGAAAAGAGATCGCAGTCTTGTCAGTTCTTGATTTCATAAGCCTTTATTTGCTTCAGATCAACATTTTAATGTTGTGCTTCATCTATGATCCAGATCTGGCTGGCTCTTTATTTAGGCAAGGCAAGTTTATTTATATAGCACATTCCATACACTATAGTAGTTCAAAGTGCTTTACATAGAAAGGAATTTAAAGTCACCTTGAAATCAAAATGGATGATTACATTTTTTTAAAGAATATTGTAGTGATTTATCCGTGCACATCCGTATTTTCTTAATTCATGTGCCTTATAATCTTTAATCAAAATGACTTCCCCTTCCTCTTGCAGCTCATCTCTTCCCTGATGATGCGTTTACTGGTGAGAGGGCGGAGCAACCTGTCACTCACTAGAGATCAGCCAATAGCAAACCACAACCATCTCAAATCCCCATGGACAAACTCAAGTCCCGCCCTACATCTGCTCTTGTTCCAGAATCCGTTTCACTCGGATATACGTCACAATATAGGGAAGAAATGACTATTGCAACTTCCGTTTCATGCCGATTTTACGTTGTTTTTTTATGCCTAATGACAAAGCGAATGAGAAAAATACTTCCGGCACCAATGCCACTATTGTGCTCTATGAAGAAAGTCGCTCTGATAACAGAAGAAAGAAATGAAGAAAACTAATACCTTGTGTAGCCACTTCCATGAAACTCTGTGCTGTTGAAGCTCTTTATCACAGTTTGCTGGGGGGGAAAAGTAAAGATGTAAGTTTGATTGTCATACTGGATGTTTTTTAAGTAAGCCTTGCTGCATCTGATATTATAATATTTACCAGATGGACGTACATTTCACTGTGGTCACGCCAACTACACTTATGAATACATTATTGCGCGTCTATATGAACTTGCGTGGTAGGCTATAGGTGTGTGCGCATGGTGACAGTACACATTTTAAAAATTCATAATAGTTTTCTTTAAACTCCACCAGATTCTTGTTCTACATCTCCCCAAGTACCAGTGTGGTGATTTTGTTGTTGTTTAACTGTTTTATTCTTTAACAGTGATATGCCAAAGTCATGACCAATACTTTACCTCGCTATACAGACCCATTTTAAAAATTCATAAAAAGATAAAATCAAAATGTTTTTCTGCAAACTCCACCAGATTATTGTTCTACATGTCCCCAAGTACCACTTGTATGTTGATTTGTATGTTAACAAAATCACCACAGTGGTACTTGGGGAGATGTAGAACAATAATCTGGTGGACTTTGCAGAAAACATTTTTTTTTATGGATTTTTTAAATATGTGTACCGACACCAAGCACCCCACACCACATAAGCTCATATAGACAGGCAATGTATTTTTAAGCGTAGATGGCGTGACTTCAGTCGCATTTCCAAAGTGTCAAAAACCTACTTCAATATTTCCGCAGGTGCCAAAGGCTGTAAACATCACCATGAAGCCCAAGCCCAGGACGACGACGTTGAGCAGGGTCTTTCCCTCCGGACTCATGTTGGCTTCAAGTCTTTAGCTCGATGACAACCTGAGACTAGTGAACACACAAAAGCATCCGAGTCAAGTGACACCTGACACGAGTGGTTAAAAACACTGACCATGCATTTCCCCCATATGATCACTGCTTCCTCGTGACGAGATCAGACAGCTCTGAGGAGTCTTAAACCAAAGAAGTCCCTGTATATGTGTGTCATACGAATACATCTGAATAGTGAGCTATTAAAAATGATTACTGATATCATTTAAGCTTGTAAATGGAGACCGGTTGCAATAATACTTGTGCGAAGTAAACGTACCGAATACTTGTGTGCGCTGATGTAAACAGCTAATTCATAATGTAAAAGACCTGTTGATCACGACGATTTCGAAATAGGTAGAAACATTCTGGAAGCTGGAAAACGTGAATAAATGTTATTTTCCTGCTTCTCGATCAGGATCTCCCTGTATGTCTGAAATCGAAAATGTCTGTCATGTGACTTCTACCAGCTGACGGTGACGTCATAACCATCCTCCGCGAACGGATTTGTGGGTAGTGTCGTCTTTTCATTGAATATATTTGTTATCAAATAGATAGTTTATAAATGAGTTCAGTTAGATATAATTTATGTTCAGTATTTATTGCTGAATTTGTCTTGTTTTGCTGAATTTTATAGTCAGTAGAGCAACATTGCTATTTTAAAGACTACATTGAGGACTTTTTGATCTCACATAACGGGAACAATATTCGTTATTTAACAACTTATAGGCCTATATATTTATTTAAAGCATTCAAAAGACACATTTTATGCTTAGAAAAAAAACGTAATCTCTTTACATAGCTATTTACAATAAGCACTTAACTCAAAAATAAATTAATAAAGGCCTTCTGAAGCGATACGTTTGTGTAAGAAACATATTTTTGGGTGAACTAACCCTTTAACTAGCAGAATTTGTTTTGATTCAGTCTATTCGCAAATATGAATTGTGAATGTTTCATCATTTTTGAATTATCACACACACACTGTTAAAACTGTTTATAATAAATGTATGAATAGCCTATATGTTTATGTATATGTTTAGTATGTATAGTGTGCCTTGAGACAATGAAAGCTCTGATTCAATTATTATTTTGCACCATCACTCAAAACTGACAACTTTATCAAACGTTTTCTCCACATCTCATTTCTCACATGTCATTTCCACATCTTCACTCCTTACATTGTTCACAACCATTTCTGTTATTTCCTTCAAAACCACACTATCCTCAATCTGTTCATTCAGTAATGAGCCTTCTGTTTATTATTTCAACTGAGAGATACTTTTGATAGTAATAATACAAAAAATATTTATTATGTGTCACTACAAAAAAAAATGAATGAGATTTTCGTCAAAACAGAGTTTGAGAAAAGTACACACACACCACACACACACACACCACACACACACACACACACACACACACACACACACACACACACACACACACACACACACACACACACACACACACACACACACACACTTCTTACTGTCTCTATGAGGATTTGATACACACATTTATTCTGTGTTATTTCAGTGAAGTTCATCAGTATTAATGTACTGAAGAGGAAATAAGAGTCTCTATAACATCTCACTGTTACTGATTTATCGTGCAGCTCAAAGTATTATGGGTAAAATCTCTCTATATCTGTTCTGAAACATCAACACAGTTTCACTGATCCAGAATAAACCAGAAACCCAGGATAGAGCGGCTGTGAATGTGGTCTGGACTGTGTGGATGAGGCTCATTGTGTCAGAGACGCTGTAGAAGGACAGAGTTCCTGCACTGTGATCCACACACACTCCTATTCTTCTGCTGATGGACTTTACAGGGAGAGGAGTGTGTATGTTATTGTGCCAGAATGTGTAACTGGAGGAAGAGCAGAACAAACTCCAGGACTGATCATTATATCCAAACACACACTCAATACCCGATCCCTTCCTGCTGATGCTCTTATATGACACTGATATACACACACCATCTCCAGTCCACTCAATTTCCCAGTAACAGCGTCCACACACACTCTCTCTACACAACACCTGAAGATAATAATCAAATCTGTCTGGATGATCAGGATACGGCTGCTCTGTGTCAGTGCCAGTAATAACTCTGTTCCTCTTAGACAGACGGAGGAGTTTATTCACTGTGTTCAGATCCAGAGTGAGCTGATGGGAATCTGATGGAGAGAAAACACATCAGAAACAGGAATTATGAATCTGTCTGATCTTTTAATGTATCTGAACTCTTCATGAATCAATGTTCAGTGTATCATCAGTGTCTCAGTACAGATGACCAAATATCCTGAGCAAATCCTCATTTACATGATCAATTATAAAACTCTTCTTCATGATTTATTTCTCCTTCTACAGGAAGAACATGAACACATTCAGTGAGTTTTCCTGCTTGTTTTCTAGTGACTCACATTGTAGGAAGTCGTTCCTGGTCTTGGGATTCATGTTGGTGAAAGTGACTGTGGAAATAAACAGACATGAACAGTGTGAAGAGAAATGACAAGATAAAATACATTCATTTCTGAGACATTTCTAATATAATGCTGTATGATATTAGATGATGGACTCATTTCTGAGAGCTGATGAATAATCTCCAGGGGCTTCATTTATAAAACACACACATCGGATTGATCCGTTCATCCGATTGTTCAGATTTGGGATGTTTCTCACACGTCTGTATAAACGAGCGCAGGACTTTACCTCCGTCTGAGATCTTCTTGATCTCCTCTTTGCAGAAATCCTCCAGTTTGTCTCTCAGCTGACGGACAGATTCTCTCATGCCATCAAAAGAGGAGAGAGAACCGAAGGGAACGTCGGGTTCGTCTGTAGATTCAGGAGGTGCTGAGAGAGACTGGAAACTCTACAGAAAACAGAAATCAAAACTCATCTTCTCCACACTTCAGCCAATAACCTGCACTATATCAGATCTGTGCGGCTCTTGTAGACTTGACTTCTCTTCAGTGACTCGCTTCAATCCAGCACTTTCACACAATCAGCTCATTTTTAATGGTCAATTTCCCAGGGCTTTGTAAGTGCGTCTCTTTAAACAGAAGATGATCAGATGAGCGTCTGACTGATGATTATATGATAACACAACACTCGACTGAATCTGACTGAATTCCTGACAACATCTCAGTCAACGGCTCATTCTGCTCTCATGAAATGTTTCTCTGTCATAGCAGGATCTTGCTCAAGTCCACTATGATCCTGTTCTCCTAGATCTCTGTTACCTGCAGGAACTGGATGTGATCTTGTGTGTGTGAAAGCTGCTCCAGCTCAGCGTCTCTCCTCCTCAGATCATTGATCTCCTGCTCCAGTCGCTCCAGTCGTCCTTCAGCTCGACTCACTGCAGTCTTTTCCTGATCTCTGATCCGCTGTGTGACCTCAGAGCGGCTTCTCTCAATGGAGCGGATGATCTCAGTGAAGATCCTCTCACTGTCCTCCACTGCTGTCTGTGCAGAGCGCTGTTACACACACATCACAATCACACAGTGGCTTCAGCAGGACTGACAGAGTCCAAACTGAGACGTCTCACACTTCTCTTCTTCTCCAGACTCACCTTATGAGACTTCACAGCCTCTCTCAGCTGATGAAGATCTTTCTGTCTCTGCTGGATTCTCTGACGGATCTTCATCTGCGTCTCCTTCAGCTGTTTCTGGAGGACAAACCAATGACAGCAAATGACAACTGAAATGTCAACATTATTTCATCAGTGCCCAGTTTTATATGAATCCTTCACCCTAAAGTTTTAATTCTGTCATCATTTACTCTTCCTCAAGTCGCTCCAAACCTGTATGACTTTCTCTCTATTGTGAGACACAACAGAAGATATTCAGAAGAATGTCTCAGCTGTTTACAGAGGCCAAATAAAATATGGTGACACGTCAATAACAGCAAACCTCATTGGTTCTTGCACGTCACAGTCACATGACTAAACACCATGATGTCATGACACAAACACCAGTGAAGTTTGATGTTTCTGATGTCATCATATTTGATTTGGGCTCCACATACATGAGTTTATCAATGATTGATTTAATTTGTGAATCAAACTTTGGCCCTTTTACTTATTTTGGAATTAATATACTACTATAATGGTGAAATAAGTGTGAACTGAATGTAATGTTTTCAGACACGTAATTGCATGTTAATTACTATTAAATAAATAAAAAATATTATAGTTTAAATTTAAATTGAAAGCTTGAATTGAATTGACTCTCTTTAAGTGCACTTAAGTGGCCTTTCATTTCATTAATATTATACTATCTTTTTTTTTTATTATATTATGCAGTTTTTTTTTAAATACACTTTTAATTTGAAGTACACTACACGTACATGTCAATACACTTAAGTGTACTTCTATTTTTAACCACTATTTGTTTAGATTACTTTTATGCTTTTTCTCCTTTTTGGTGCTTGAAACTTTTGTATCTCATTGACTTTCAATGTATGAACTAAAATAGATGAGACATTCTTCAAAATTTCATCTTTTAAATTCCACAGAAGAAACTCAGTCAAACCGGTTTGGACCAACATGAGTAAATGAGTGAGTAAATAAAGACACTTTCATTTCTGCGTGATCAATCTCTCTCAGCTCATACCTGTTTCTCTGTCCTCTGTGCTGCAGTTGATACAGTGTTGTGGTTTTTATGTTCACTCTCTTTACACCACACACAGATGCACTGTTGATCAGTAATACAGAACATTTCTAGCTCTTTATCATGTTTACGGCAGATCATGTCCTGTAGTCGTCCAGTGGCATCAATCACTTTGTGTGGCTTACGAGAGTGATATTCCTCATGACGGTCAAAATGAGTTTGACAGTAAGACTCCTGACACACCAGACAGGACTTGACGGCTTTGTGTTTTCTTCCAGTACAGACGTCACACTCCACGTCTCCAGCTCCAGCGTAACAGTCAGCAGGAAGTTTAGTCTTCTTCAGTTTCTCCACCAGTTCAGCCAGAATGGTGTTTTTCCCTAAAGCAGGTCTTGGACTGAAGGTCTGTCTGCACTGAGGGCAGCTGTAGACGCTCTTCTCATCCTCCTGATCCCAGCAGTCTGTAATACAGATCTTACAGTAACTGTGTCCACAGTGGATAGTCACTGGATCCTTCAGGAGATCCAGACACACTGGACACATGAACTCATCCTGAGAAATTCTGGCTTCTGCCATTTTACCGCAAGAATACAGAGACACAAACACACAACAGCTCAACAATACTCCAGTTTCTGTTTCCCTGAACTGAGGAGTTGAAATGGTTTCCTGCTTGTGTGTTTGAGTGACGTGTTTAAAACAGGAGTGTGTGTAAAGCAGCTTCCTCATTCCTGGTGAAGGAGAGTCACTTTACTGCTGTGTTTATGTGTCCTAGTGGAGTCAAAAACATCGTAATGACGAGATCCGAGAACATGAACCATTCAATCCCTGAAATTCTGCGTTATACAGTAAATTATGTTTTTATGCCTCAATTGTGCCTCCGTGTTTGGGCTTTACTTT